TGCGGCGAGCCCTGTCCAGCGTCGACTCTGCTGACTTGCCCTAAATGTTCCAGGAATGTGCCTTTGCCTTTCAGTTTGTGCCTTGTATTGCTCGCGGGCCCACAGGAGTAGTTTGCATGGTGGCGGAAGCAAGTTGTTGAAAACAATACTTTTTTGAATCACGATGCCACTCTGTTTGCATGACTCTTTTGTTGTTGCTGGTGGAATCTTGACCAATGAGGATGAGGCAAATAGCTGGCTGTACGGCCCCCTGTTTTGCAGTGGCGCTCTGAGCGTTGTTCGTCTCCGTTGGCCCCAGGTTGCGCGCCTCGCCAACACGGCAGCCCTCCAATGGGCTGCTGGGAACGCTGACGCGCGTAAACAAAGCACGACTGCCAACACCCGTCCCCCCGGCCCTGCGCACTTTTTTTTGCGATGGGAGCTGCTGCGTGGGCCGCCAGTGGCAGCCCTTCGGTCAACAAGCCTTTCAAAAAGAAACTGTCTCCAATGGCCCGCTCGTCTCGGCAGGCTACTCTGAAGAGGGGCCTAGGGGCGCTCTCTCCAGCGGCTGCCTGGAGCAGTTGTTGGTGACGTTGCTGGTCACGCCCGCGCTCAGCGCGCTCCTTAACATTTCTGCCCCGCCCGCGGCCTCTGCCTTTGCCCTTTCCCCGCCGGCTGCGGCTGCGGCCACCACCACCACCAGGGCTGCGGCTGCAGCGCCGCTCTTGGTGAGCCGGCGGCCGCGCGTAAGCGTCGGCCAGCTCCCGGAGTAGCTGCGCAGCCGTGGCCAGCACCGCAACCCTTGCCCAGCACGCGGTTGGCGCCGCAGCCGCAGCAGCAGCAGCCACGGCAAGAGCAGCAACGGCCCAGCCCTGAACCAGCGCCGGCACCACAGCAACCCCAGCAGATGCAGCCGCCGCAGGAGCGCACGCAAGCACAAACGCCTGCCAGGCCTGGCACCTCGTGGCTCTCCAGGGGCCCGCCGGCCACCAGTGACGCTGTCGCAGGAGCGAACAGCTGGTTGTTTGTTCCGTTGTTGCAAGCCGCGGCCGGGAATGTGCGCAGAGAGGCTTCTGAGCAGTGGGAAGGACATGCCTTTTTTGGGCCAGTGTGGCGGGAAACTCTTCTCCACCTCCACTGCGCTGCCCCGGTCCACATTTTGCGAGCAATTGAGGTTCACCAAGCAGCGGCTGCATTGGACCGCCGGCTCACAGCCGCAGAGCTGACTGTGGCGGGTGTGTTGCAACAAGCCTCCGGGTCTCTTCCCGAGCAGTCGTCCGTGTTTTGTGCCTGGGCCGTCGAGCACTGCATGCTGGCTGACGGCTACATTCCTGCGGTTGCGCAAGAAGTTTTGCCGTTGCTTTTCCTAGGCGAGCGCGGGGCCGCACGGCTCGTTGCCGCCGCGGGACAGTACCGGGCGGCCACTGCAGAGGCCCTGGCACATGCGGACGCCGTAAACGAACTCGCAGCCGCGCCAGCAGCGGCCCGCAGGCGAGCGGCACGCCAATGGCAGCAGGCGGCAGCGCTTCAGCGCCAACTGTGCCTGACACCCAACTCGTGGAGCATCGTGACAACAGTACCGGCCAAGCAGGCGCAGCGCCAGCTGCGCTGACAGCCTTGCCTCCAGGCCCGCCGCCCAACGATGCATCACCAGATGACATCCTGGGAGGCCGCAGCCCAGCACCAGCCGCTGAGCCAAGTGAGCCTGACGAGGTAGACACGGCACAGCCGACGCGCTTTCTCCCGCTGCAAGGGGCGCGCTTGAGAGCAGCCTTCGCGGCTATTGATGCCCTGGATGCCGAAACTGTGCTGAGCCACCCATGCAGCTCCGTCCGGTCCCCTCCGCACTTCCTTAAGGGCACTCTCCGCAAAGCTCTCCGGTTTGCCCTTGATTCAATCCATAATGCAGACGGCCACGGAGGAGTTGGGAGCGAACGGGCGTGGAAACTCTGGCTCTTTCTGCCCAGGCTGCTTTTGTTTCGCCCCGCAGGAGGTGCGCCGGTGCCTAAGCAAGACTTTTTGGCTCGCTGCGACGCGTTTTTTCGTGGGGAGTGGCAGCAGCTAGTGAATGTATCCGGGTCCTTTCCGGACGAGAGCCAGACAGGTCCTGCAAGCACGGCACGACATAGTCGCCACCGGTTACTGCAAAGGGTCCCTGGGAGCCAGAAAAGTCAAACAGCTGCGGCAGACACAAAGCAAGCCTTCGCCCTCAGGAGGCCCCCTCGCCCTACGTGTTGTGGACCCGGCGCGCACGACGACCGGCCGCGTGCATCCCTCAGATGCTGGCAGGCAAGCGCACGGCGCACGGCGTGCGACGCTACAAGCCCGCGGGCTGCCCGCCACCGCGGCCGAGCGAGCATGCTGCTCGCCGGCTGCGGAGGCTGCGGCCGCAAACCCTGGCAGCCGTGGGCCGCGGAGGCTGAACAGGAGTTAGGCCTGAAGATGGGCACCGCGCGACGCGGCCTCGGCTCCCATGCGCGTCCGGCCCCGTGGCAGCCAGCAGCTGCGGCGCCCGCCGTCCGAACGAAGCGCGTGGCAGGCCTAGGAGCGTCCCCGTCGCCAAGGCCAGGACTGCCCACCCCCAGGCCAGGCTCAGTGGGCCAAACCCATCGGAGAAGTGCACCGGGGAGCCCCCCGCACAGACCAGCAATGCGTGTGCCACGCTTTGCCGGCATCCTTGGGGCAGGGAAGCCGTAAAGGCAAAGGCCGAGGAGAGTCTAGACACGCCTGAAGCCAGAGCGGATCGCTCCAGCCAACGTGCGCGTCACCTTGTCCACCTAGGGGAGCTGTCAGCTGCCCGGCAAGCGTTGGTGGCCAGCCCGCTGGCCCCCGGCACCGTTGAAACCCTTCAGGAGCTGAGGGACCCCCCCGGCGGCCCAACCAGCCGCGTGGGCCCCTTTCGCCCGAGGTTTTGGATTTCCAGCCCCCCCCAGCCCAGCTTCTTCCGGAGCCTGTCCTTTCCGGCCTGCGGCGTGCGCGCAAAGGCGCCGCCCCTGGACCTTCCGGGCTAACAGCTGAGGTTGCCCGAGCGCTCCTGGATGACGAGGATGCGTCCGAACGCAGCGCTCAGCACTCTCGGGCCGGCGTTGTGCCATGACGGGAAGGCAGTCCGCCCATGCGCCCCAGTAAGCTGATGGGGCCGTGCGCTCCGCACGGCCACCCATGCGCGTAGGGAGGAAGGCGCAGGCGCGGGCGTGAGGCCAATCCGCCCCGGGCTCGCCAAGGAGGGTTTGCAGTGTGTCCCACGTGGCGTGGTCGTGGGCCGCAGCATAAGCCGCCGACTGAGAAGGCGGAAGCGTGCGGAGGAGGTGCTGCGCACGCGGCGCGGCGCAGAACAAGAGCAAAAACCACGCGGAATGAAGATCAGGAAGCTGCGGGAGTTCAGCAAGCAGGCGCCGTTGGTCAGCGAGCCGCTCAGCAGAGCATCTCTCGACGAACTCCGGGCTGCCGATGGGCACGCCCAAAGCGACGAAGCCACGCTCAGGCGCAGGTTTGTCGCCACGCCACACCTCTGCCGGGCTTCTGAAGCGCCGTGAGGCGGGCCAAGGCCAAGGCCGACAAGGCCTCCTCCGGAACATCCCCGTTTTGGCGAGGCAAACGTGGCAACCTCGGCCAAACTGGGCGAGGGCCTCCTTGTCAGCGAGGAGTAGCTTGTAGTGCTCAGCGGTGGCTCCGGACAGGCCTGCCGCGGCACCCTTCTTAGCCGTCCGCAACGAATCAGCGACAGCAGCAGCGGACAAGTGGACGCGCGGGACAGAGGCCAGCGCCGCCGGTAAGGGCCGAAGTGGCTCCGGCGGTCGGCGCGCGGGATCCTGCAAGGGGGCGAGGGTGGCCCTCGTTGCCGGCGCCAGAGCGGCAGCAGTGAGCGTTTGGCGGGCCCGAGACAAATCTCCGCGCTTGACCTGGGCGCAGGCGCGCTCGCGCCTGGCCTCGTCCGTGAGGGCAAGTGTGGTGGGCAGTCCAGGCCGGGAAGCCACTGCCGCATCATACAGCGCGGACCATCGCCCCGCGTGGAAGTCCTCCAGGCGCGCTTGTGTGAACAGCCAAACGCGGGAGCAAAAGGAACAATTTCCACGCGCGCTCCCGCCGTGCTGCCCGGCTGGAGTGGGGGGGGGGGAGTGGGGAGAGCAAAGAACGGGAGTGCGAACCGACCACGCCGCGCGCGGGCTCCAGCATGCATGAAGTGCGGCACGCTTTGGAGCGTAGGGACTGGCGCGGAAAAAGCGGCAACCAGATCGACCGAGTCAAGCCAAACCCACGCCGCGCGTGGGACCCGTGCCGCAACACTGGCAGCACGCTGCGCAACCCGTAGGGGAGCACTGTCACTGCTGGACGCAGCGTCGGGCAGCAGCGCAGGTGGGGCGCCGGCTTCGTCCAGCGAGCCAGACGCCATGTCGCTGCTGCCGCCGTGCGGACGACCCGAATCCCCATCCGCCCGGCCGGGCCCAGCGCGGGCTTCGGCAGACGAGGCACGCCGTCGACGACGTCTGCGCCGAGGGGCGGCGGTCGTCAAGCACGCTTTGGCTCAGCCATGATTTTTTTTTTTTGTCAAGACTCAAGTGGCAGCTAAGGCCGTGGCTTGGGGGCACGGTGTTTGTCTGTGGTTGTGGGGCCCCCTCTTGTTCCTGGCACGGTGTTTGTCTGTGGTTGTGGGGCCCCCTCTTGTTCCTCTTGTTTGGGGTTGGTGTTTTGTTTGTGGGGGCGGGGCTTGTTTCCCTCTTGCCACGGACCTAGGGTCCTGTTTGTCTGTGGTTGTGGGGCCCCCAGTCGTTCCTCTGTTTGGGGTTGGTGTTTTGTTTGTGGGGGCGTTTTCGCGTGGGGCTTGTTTCCCTCTGGTAGGTGCATGGAACCCGGCGTCTTTCGGGTTGGGGACGTGTGCGTCCCCGCCGCACGCTACCAGGAAGAAGGTTTTCTGGTGCTGTCGCTGGCCGCGGCTGCCTCCTTCGGCGCGTTCTCGCCGGAGGCTGAGCCGGTCTCTTTCTACCGGCTCGGACCGTTGGCGCTACCGTGCCAGCCCCGCGTCGCCACCTCGGCGTGTAGTGGGTGCGGGTGCTTCGCCCTCTCCTTCCTCCACCTCTCCGTCCGGTTCGCCGGCGCCACCGGCCGCCGGGCCGCGCTCCGCTTCCTCCTCCGGTTCGCCGGCGCCGGCTGCCGCCCGGGAGCGCTCTCGCTCCCGTGCCCGCCCGGCTCCTCGCCGGCGCCGGCGCCCTCGCGCAGGACGCGCGGTCCGGGCGCGGCAGGCCCGCGCTAAGGCGCGCCGTGGGGCGCCCACGTACTGTGTTCTCGGCCTTGCCGCCGCCATCGGCCGCCTCCGCCACCTCGGCGCCGCCAACCCCGGCACACGTCCCTGTGGCCACCTCGCCTTTCTTCGGGCCTGGCGGTGCTCCGGCCGCAGCGCCGTCGCCCTTCACTGGCGCGTTGCCCGGTTCGGCGCTTCCTTCGCCCTTTGCGGCCACCAGCGGCTCGGCCGCCGCGCGGCCGTCTCCTTTCGGCGCGCCCGCTCCTCAGAGTCCGCCGTTCGTCGCGCGTGTGTCTCTCACCGCGCCCGTGCCTAGGTGCCTCCCACCTTGGCGGCCGCGGCTTCGGCCGCCTCTCTGAACGCGAGCTTGCGCACTGCCTGGGCCTTAGTGAGCGTCTCGGCACCCTAGCCTTCCCTCGGCTTATGACTGAGGCCGCTCGCTTCCTCGAGGCCGGGCCCCAGCGTTGTGTTTCGGCTCTTCGCCACTCCCAGGCCCAGCGCGCGAGCCTTGGAGCGCTGGCTGCGTTGCAAAAGAACACTCGACTAAGGCGGCGTTTCTGACCTGAGGCAGGGCTTGGTTTCACTAGCTGGCTTTTCACCCGTCGGCTGTCAGTCTCACTGGCTCACTCCAGCTGGCAAAACGTGCGACTGTTTGTCACGCTGCGTCGTGTACAATTGCGCGACGCGTGTGCTGGTGAGCTCGAACGATGTCCCGCCGCCGCAGCGCTACTCCTACTGCGCGGCGAGCGCAGGGAAACGAGGATGCTTTGTTGGACGGGGCCGCCGCGCCCTCCCAGCCCGCCGCGGTCACGCCGCCTCGCGTTCTGGCGCCGGATGTGGGCGAGCAGGTGCTGGATGAGGCTCATCCGCGGTCAGAGCTTGATGACTGCTGTGTCTGCCTTCAGCCCCTCCTCCCGAACAGTCTCGGTGCATTGCGCCCCGTGCCTTTGCCAGTCTGCCCGCGGCATGTCCTTCACCTGGGCTGTCTCGCGCAGTTGCGCGTTCAAGCACGTCGTCCTCGTGATGTTGCCCTCTGTGTCATCACGGCGCGTGCCCCGTCTGCGCCGTGGACGGGTGGGCCCCGGAGCATGACGACCAGCTGACGGCTTGGTGCCGCGAGGAGGCCCTTCACCCGCCGCCCCGTCTGCCGGACCAGCGCACTGCGCAATCTAGCGTGCAGGACTACACCGTCCGCACCTTCACCGGCCAGGATGCCCCAGAGCCGCCTGAACCGGTGCATGTTGTAGTCAACTGCTGTCGCAGGTTGGCCGCCGTGCGGCCGGACCCTGGGCAAAGCGACGCGCAGTTCCTTGAGCTGGCGCACAGGGCCGTGGCTTGGTCGCCAAGCCCTCGGCGCCATGAGCGCGGCATAGGTGCTTGGCAGGGTGCCTGGGCATGTCCGCGCTGCGCACGCGTCACACACAGCGAAGATGTGCATGTGCCTGCGGAGGCCGGAGCAGCGTGCCCCGCGTGTGGCCGCATGCGGCTCTGGGAACATGACGCTGCTGCTGGCACCGGGCGCCTAACCTGTGGGTGTCCTCTTGCAAGCTCGGCGTCGCCTCCGCCTTTGGACATGGGCCTGTCCATGCTTTCCGACGTTGACATGCCGCAAGTCCGGCCAGCGCACGTGCACACATCCGACTTTGAACCTGGGGACCGTGATGCAGGGGGGCCGCCGGAACGCGCACCCGGCCCTGCGGTGCCGGACGCTGGGCGTCCCAATGAGGCCGGAGCCGCCTGGCTGCGAGCGGGCCCGCCTCGCGAGGGCGTGGGGCCAACCAATTCCTGGCTGTATGTGCCCCTGTTGCGCGCGGCTGCTGGTCGCCTGTCTCCCGACGCCCTCGCCCAGTGGAGGGCCGACAGCCGGGCGGCCTCGTGGTGGGACGCAGCTCGTCACGAGCTTGCTTCGGCGCCCGCCACTCGCCCCGCCACTCTCCTTGCCGCCCTCGAGCTGGCGCCAGAAGCGGAGTCCGCCGCCTTGCTCGCTGTACGGCTGCGGCAGGCCGTGTCCGTGCTGCCGTCGGGCGCCTTGGGTCACGAATGTGCTGGCCCTCCCTGACGGATACATACCTGCTCCTGGCCAGGAAGCGTGCCTTCAAGTGTTCGGCGGCCTGTCGCTTGCGTCCTCGCTAGACGGGCCGAGGCGTTTCGGCGTTTCCCGCCTGCTGCTGCTGCCCCAGCCCCGCGCGATGACGGCGCGTGCTTGACGACCGCCGCCCCTCGGCGCAGCCCGGCCGGGCGGATGGGGATTCGGGTCGTCCGCACGGCGGCAGCAGCGACATGGCGTCTGGCTTGCTGGACGAAGCCGGCGCCCCACCTGCGCTGCTGCCCGACGCTGCGTCCAGCAGTGACAGTGCTCCCCTACGGGTTGCGCAGCGTGCTGCCAGTGTTGTGGCACGGGTCCCACGCGCGGCGTGGGTTTGGCTTGACTCGGTCGATCTGGTTGCCGCCTTTTCCGCGCCAGTCCCTACGCTCCAAAGCGTGCCTTTTTTCATGCATGCTGGAGCCCGCCGCGCGTGGTCGTTCGCACTCCGTGCTTTGCTCTCCCCCTCTCCAGCCGGGGGCAGCACGCGGGAGCGCGCGTGGAAATTGTTCCTTTTGCTCCCGCGTTTGCTGTTCACGCGCGGGGTTGCGGCCAACGGTGGAGTTGGTAAGGCTGCGCTTCTTCAGGCCTGGAGGACTTCCACGCGGGGCGATGGTCCGCGCTGTATGACGCGGCAGTGGCTTCCCGGCCTGGACCGCCCACCACGCTTGCCCTTACGGACGAGGCCAGGGGCGAGCGCGCCTGCGCCCAAGCGCGGAGATTTGTCTCGGGCCCGCCAAACGCTCACGGCCGCCGCTCTGGCGCCAGGCAACGAGGCCACCCTCGGGGGCACATACCGAAGCGGTGCCTTGTCCCGGTTTTTGCGTTTGCGGTGACACGCTTCCACACTTCCACACTTCCACGCTTCTAGACTTCCACACTTCCACGCTTCCACATTTACATACTTCCGCTTTGCACCCTTCCACTTCCACAGACATGGCATGCGGAAGTATCACGCCTTTGTCGATAGCCGCGCGGTCATCGACAGGTCTATTTCGGCGACAGGCCACACTCGCACGGGCGCCCTTCCACTTCCCCCAGACCATCGACAGGTCTGTTTCGGCGACCACACTCCCACTTGCGCCCTTCCACTTCCCCAGACATGGCCAACGTGGCATGTGGAAACTATCACGCCTTTGTCGATGGCCGCACGGTCATCGACATGTTGTTTCGGCAACAGGCCACACTCCCACTTGCGCCCTTCCACTTCCGCAGACATGGCTTGTGTCACGCTTTTGTCAAAGTGTGGAAGCGGGCCCGCGTTTTTGTTTTTTCTAGGTATGGCGCGGCCGTTTTGCAGCGTATTTTCTCTAGGTATGGCGCGGCCGTTTTGCTGCGTGGTGCTGGGGTTTTGGCTCTCAGTCGGTCGGTCCGTCGGTCCAACCCTAAACCAACCCTAACCCAACCCCAAGCCAGCCCTAAACCAACCCTAAACCAACCCTAAACCAACCTTAAACCAACCCTAAACCAGCCCTAAACCAACCCTAAACAAGCCCAAAACCAACCCTAAACAAGCCCTAAACCAAGCCTAAGCCACCTAAAACGAACCCTAAAACAACCTCAGCAAACCTGAAGCCGCCCTAAAACAACCCCAAACGAAGCATGGATATGTGGAAGTGTGGAAATGTGAAGACGAAGGGGCGTGGCAGTGTGGAAGTGTGGAAGTGTGGAAGTGTGGAAGTGTGGAAAGTGGAAGTGTGGAAGTGTGGAACTGACCCCAAAGAAAACCGGGAAAAGTCACCGCAAACACAAAAACCGGGACAAGGCACCGCTTGGGCATAGCACCCGCCACCCTCGCCGCCTTGCAGGATCCCGCGCGCCGACCGCCGGAGCCACTTCGGCCCTTACCGGCAGCGCTGGCCTCTGTCCCGCGCGTCCACTTGTCCGCTGCTGCTGTCGCTGATTCGTTGCGGACGGCTAAGAAGGGTGCCGCGGCAGGCCTGTCCGGAGCCACCGCTGAGCACTACAAGCTACTCCTCGGTGACGAGGAGGCCCTCGCCCAGTTTGCCGAGGTTGCCACGTTGCTCGCCAACGGGGATGTTCCGGAGGAGGCCTTGTCGGCCTTGGCCTTGGCCCGCCTCACGGCGCTTCAGAAGCCCGGCGGGGGCACGAGGGGCATTGCTACTGGCGATGCGTTTCGGCGCCTGGTCGCTCGATCCTTGGCCCGAAGGTATGCGGCCCGCTTCGATGAGGCTACGCGCCCCTTCCAATTTGCGTTGCAGGCGCGCGCTGGCACTGACTGCCTTGCCTCCATGCTGCGGGTTGCTGTGGAGCTTGACCCGGAAGCGACCGTCGTCTCGCTTGACGGTCGCAGTGCGTACGACTGTGTGTCGCGCGCCGCTTTCCTCCGCAAGCTCGAGGAGGTTGCGCCGGCACTGTTGCCGTTTGTGCGTGGCTTCTACGCCAGGCAGTCTGTTTACCTGTGGTGGGACAGCCAAGGCGTTTGCCACCGAATCCGCCAGGGGGAGGGCTGTGAGCAAGGGGACCCGTTGGCCCCGGCGCTCTATGCCTTGGCACAGCACGACGGCCTAGCTGCTGCTTCGCAAGGCCTGCGTTCTGGCGACCGCCTTGCGGCCTTCCTGGATGATCTGTACGTGTTCACGACGGCCAGTCGTGCACGCGACAGCATCGATGCTGTCACAGGCGCAGTTGAGGAGTATGCTGGGGTCTCCTCGAAGCTTGGTAAGACCCGGGTGTATAGCCGCGCCGGAGGCCCCCCTCCCCCGGCATTGCCGAGCTGGGGCCAGAGGTGTGGCGTGGCGACAAACCTGCGCCTGAGCGTGGCTTCGTCGCTTTGGGCGTGCCCATCGGCAGCCCGGAGTTCGTCGAGAGATGCTCTGGTGAGCGGCTCGCTGACCAACGGCGCCTGCTTGCTGAACTCCCGCAGCTTCCTGATCTCCAGTCCGCGTGGCTTTTGCTCTTGTTCTGCGCCGCGCCGCGTGCGCAGCACCTCCTCCGCACGCTTCCGCCTTCTCAGTCGGCGGCTTATGCTGCGGCCCACGACCACGCCACGTGGGACACACTGCAAACCCTCCTTGGCGAGCCCGGGGCGGATTGGCCTCACGCCCGCGCCTGCGCCTTCCTCCCTACGCGCATGGGTGGCCTTGGCTTGCTGTGTGCGGAGTGCACGGTTTTATCAGCTTACTGGGGCGCATGGGCGGACTGCCTTCCCGTCATGGCACAACGCCGGCCCGAGGCTGCTGAGCGCTGCGTGCGCGAGCTGATGGTGGGGGATGAGGCGGCCGCACCTTGCCTCCGCGAGGCAGCCGCGTGCGGCGACTTGCTGCGCCTCCGCGGCTGGGATGCATGCCCGTCTTGGCATGTTGTGTTGGCGCGTGCTGCGCCGCCTGCTTCCCCCGACAGCGACCCTGGTGATTGGCCACATGGTTGGCAGCTTCGCGCGTCTCGTGTTCTTCACACCTACTATCGCGAGCGCGAGTTGTTGCCTGTCATGTCGCCGTCTCGCCCTTGGCGACCATGCCGCAGCGTGTCCTCGCAGCGGTCTTCTCGCTCGCCGCGCCCCCTTAATCGAGCAGGCTTGGGTTCGCGTCGCGCGCGAGGCCCTGGGCCCGGAGGCTCGTGTCGTGCCGCAGCAGTGGCTGGCGCACACGACCGCCCCTGGGGTCGCCGCGGATGATCGCCGGCGCCTGGACTTCGTCCTATATGGCGCCACTCGCCTCGGTGAAGCCCTTTGCTGCGATGTCACGCTGGGTTCGCCTCTGCGCCGGAATGGCCGCCCGCAGCCACGCGCTGCTGAGCACGACGGTGCCGTGCTCGCAGGCGCGCGCCGGCGCAAGGAAACGCGCTACCCTGAGCTTGCTGGCCCTGGCCCACAGCGGCTCGTCGTCCCCTCCTGTGAAGTCGGCGGGCGCTTTGGTTCCGAGGCGTTCGACCTTGTTCGCCGCTTGGTGCGCGTCCGGTCGCTCCGCGCCCCTGCGGCACTGCGCCGCTCTGCTGCCGTTGCGTGGCAGCGCCGGTGGTGGGGCCTCCTCGGCGTAGCTCTCCAGCGCGCCGTGGTGTCCACCCTGCGCTCTCGCCCGCGCAGCCTGCTGCGGATGCGGCGCCGGACCTCGGCGACGTCCTCGGCCTCGGGGACGCGCCTCTTCCAAGCCGCCTGCCCCTGCGAGGGTAGTCGTATGGCGTTCTTCTCGCCTTTGCTGCCTTCTTTGTCTCGCCTCCTTCGGCGCCGGTCCCAGTTTCACCGCGTGGGCAGACGCAAAAAGGTGCGCGCAAAAAAAAAACAAGTGCTCACAACCCATCAAAAAATGCCTAAAATCTACACATCGACAACTCGAAGGAAAAGGGCGCCGTTACTGTGGACACGCGTTCTAGAAACCGACCAGCTTCCGGATCGCAATCGCCATTTGGATTTTCAGTAAACCTGACAAGGTCACCAAGGCGTGCGAGCAGCGCAGCCCTTTTTTCTCACTCCAAGGCGACTGCTCATGCTGGGCGGGTGCACGTGGCAGGCATGGACACAGTGGTGGGCGGGTTCATTAGGTGGGCATGGATTCCAAAGGACAGCCGCGGCTCTGAAGGACGCCGAAGCCCAATCGGAAGATGCGTGGGTCGTATGGCCAACTCGGCTGATGACGTGGGCCCCCGTGCGGGACAGATCTACGGGGGAATGGCAACCCGAATGGACGTGCTTGAGATGCAACGCCTGGGTCACGAGCGAGCATCCGATGCTGCAACAAGTGCCTGCAGTGCCATGTTGTGCTGCGCATGGCCCACGTACGCTTGCTCTTGACATTGCCCACGGGCAACGTGGTTGGGTTTGTTGCCAAGGCTACCCCCCAGACATCCTTCCGTGCCCAGGGGCTCAACTGCCCATGCCGGCTCCCACTCGCGCCAGGTGATGCCGCCACTTTGCAGCAACTTACCGATCCTAGGAGCCGGCCCGACCAAGCTTATCAGCCCATTGGAACCCGGACAGCCCCGCCGAGCTCCTGCCTGACCAGTTCTTTGCCAATCTCCGACGCTCGCGCAAAGGAGCAGTGCCAGGTCCTAGTGGATTGACCGGGGAAATCTTGCGATTAGTGCTGGATGATGACGAGTCCTCCCATGTTCTTTGGAGAGTTGCAGCGCGACTTGCCAGAGCCGATGTTCCCACCGCAGTAGGCGGCTGGCTTGGGATTGGACGGCTTGTCGCTGTCCAAAAGCCGTCCGGTGGCGTGCGGGGATTGGTAGTTTGTGACT